CACTGCCTGATGGTGCACTGGACACACTCACCTTGTCCTCCAGGCCTTGGCTGCTGCTCCCACTGTCTGATAGGCCCTGCCCCAGCTGCCCCTGTGCCCGGAGCCCTCACGTCCTGTGGGTCTCTGTTCAAAAGCCACTTTACTGAAAACCCACCACCACCTCCATCACTGTCACCCTCGCTCCCTTTTCCCTGTGGGCAGTGGATGGAGCTGTCTACTATAGGAGAGATCTAGAAGATTCCAGTCAAGGGTCCTCCCTGGTCACGGCTAAGTATCCCATGTGACCCCAGAAACAAGGCCCCACACGGAGTGGCAGAGCAGTCCAATGATGGAGTAATTCCCTCGTGACACCCAGCAGATTCAGGGCTGGCTTTGGGCCCACCACTGTGCTAAGTACTGTCCATAGCTCAGTTAATTCTCACAACAACTCCGGGTGGGAGGGTGTAAAGTTTAGTAACCTCATTTAACAGAAGGACAGAGAAGTGGAGCAACTCTCCCAAGTCCACGCAGCCAGGAAGCTGGGAGCTGGCATCTGAACCAGAGACTTCTAGCTACAGAGCCCATGCTCAGGGCCCGTCTCTGAATTTGGATGCTCAGGGTTACAAGCTGAGGGAGCCTGCCCAGCCTGGCTGGGCACCCTGGAGCACTGGAGACCTACAGACATGAGGCTACTCAGCGACAGACCAGGGCAGCCCTCTGCAGCACAAGCAGAGCCCCCACTGCACCCTCCCTGCCCGCTCCGCAGGACAGCACTGCTCTTAGCACCCAGGGAGCCGGCAGAGTTAGAGCAGTGGTTTGGGAGAGGAACTCCAGATCCTCTAGGAGCGTGAGTTGTTGGCCCCCACCACAGGCCCAGGCCCCCAGCTCCCAGCCCCCAGTCAATCCCTGTGAGAGCCCCGTGGGAGGAGGAATCCTCACCCCCATCAGAGACTGCAAACTGAGGCTGGGCTGGGGGAATCCTCACCCCCATCAGAGACTGCAAACTGAAAACCTTCCGCAACTCTGGCCTCACTCCTTCCCCCGGCGTCCATACACTCACTGTCCCAGGGATTGTACAAGTGACACCTGTCTTCCCACCTAAGTGCTCGGCCTTCCTGAGACAAGAACTTAGCTGGTGGGCTCAGGAATGCTGCTGCTGCCCAGGGAGGGGGTCTGATGAGGAAGCAAGTGTCTGCCAACCTTTCAACCTTGGCTTACCCGTGCCCCAATGGCAATGCCACTGGGAACTGAGACAGGGACTAAGGTGAGCTGGCAGACGCAGCTCTGTAGCCCCCTTGGAGGGCCAAGAGCCAGGGTTGCAAGTTCCATGGAGCAGGGAGGGTGTAACCTTTTTCTCTAAACCAGAGCCTGGAACCCTCACTCGATACCCCTGACCCAACAAATCCCATCCCACGAGAAGTCAGTGATGAAGTCATGTCTGCCTGGGCCTCCAGAAGCCTCACCTCCCGTTCCCCTCACACCCCTCTGCCCAGAACCCCAAGTCCAGACCCTGCCTGGGGGATGAGGGAGCTCTGATGCTTGCCCCTCCCAACTGGGTGCCATTGGCAGCGGGCAGGCAGTGGCATACGGGGTAGACTCTGGTTGCCATAGCAACCTGTCAAAGTCTTGGGTGGAGGCACATGGCGAGGGGGCATGGAGGGAGGGGAGTCATCTTGCTGCGTCCTGGTTCAGGCCTCTGGGATGCACAGTACGAGCCTAAAGCCTGCTGTGGATGAGAGTGTCATGGCATAAGGGGACGGCTGAAGGACCAGCGAGTCAGTCCGAGCACTCTAGCACCACAGTGTCAGCACGAGCATCAGCTCTGGAAGTCCCCAGTCAGAATGTAAAGAGAGAGACCGGCAGTGGCTTGGAGGTTACGGAGCTGGATCCGACATGACCAGCTTGGCAGTTCAAGTCCTGAACCTCGCAGCTTGAGAATCATGCCAGGCGCACGCGAGTACATGCCCAAAATCCTGAGAGGAGAGTGGAAGAGAAGGGATTGTGGCATGGCCATCCCCCCGGGGAGGAAATGGGGGGTGATTTCTCACTTTCCCTCTCTCTCTGGTGAGCATACATGCCCTATAGCAAAAGCACTAAAAAAAGGCAAAGGGATCACCCAGCAGCCCATCTGCTGCAGCCTCCAAATGGGTCTCAGGGACCTGACTTCCGGGCTTAGTTCTGCCACCAGCACGCTGCGTGAGCTTGGATGAGCCCCAGTCCCTCTCTGAGCTTCAGGTTCTTCAACAGCAGGTGGACCAGGGCTGTCCCGGGGGGCCTGGGAGACTCCTTCTAGCTCTGGGTGGCTATGGTGGGGGAAGACGCCCAGCTGGGAGCAGGCTTGAAGTTGGGCAAAGCTCACTCCCAGGCTGCAGGTCGGTCCTGGCTCCTGGGTGGTCGTGCTGGGGAAGAGGTCCCACGCCCCTGCCAGAGACCGAACCCCTGTACAGCTCCCATGGCCCAGAGAGAATTGCAGAACATCTAGAATAAGATGGGGTGGCAGGGGACTGCAGTCCTTCGGGACCTTGAGGTTGGAAGAGGAGGGCTGCTCAGGGGCCTCTGGCTTGTGACCTCTGGATCATGCTGCCCAAGGAGGCTTAGCCCAGACTATGGACGGCCTGGTGTCCGGGCAGAAGCCACAGTGCTTTCTACCTCCCAAGGTATGACGGAACTCCCTGGCTGCTCCCTGAGCTGACCCTGGGCAGAGGGCTGCTCTGTCCAACCTCACCTCCTGTCCTGGCATCACCCCTACTCTGAACAGCTCTCTTCGAATAACCCCTGCCTCGCTGCTCTCAGGTCAGGCTGGAATGCCACTTTGCTGGTTAGAGCTGGCACCCCCAGCACCATGCCTGCTCAGCTCCCCTGCATGGCTGGCCAGGGAGCACGTGAGTCCATAACTCCAGCTCAGTCATTCTCCGTGCCATCTCTGCAGGGACCCTGGTTACAAGGAGCTGAAATTTGCCTAAAGCCCACCTGGCTGAAGTAACTGCACCCAGTGGGCAAATTCAGGCCAGCGGCTCAGAACGCTGGTCATGCATTTTGGGCTCAAAGCCACCCAGGGGGCAGGACCAAAGACATGTGGACCTCATTACCCCAGCCATGTGGGAAGCAGTAATTAAACCAGGCTCCACTTAGAGAGACAGAGAGGGACATACACATCCAGCACTTCTCAGTGACTTTTCTGCCTTGGCACAAACATTCAGAACTGTGGGGTGGGGACGCATGTTCTTAGAGGAGGTTGTACCCCTGATGATGTATGTGAGGAACCCTTGCACCCAGGAGCAGCCCCCAGACTCATTCTCACTCCAGGACAGGGAGGGCACAGTGGCTCTAACTTGTCCAGGATCAAGGACACTGAGCATTGGGAGATCTCTGAGGGAGTGCTTAGCCAGACCTCGAGCAGTGGGGACAGCCTCATGGTCATCCACACTCTCCAAGGGTCCTTTGCGACCAGGTCAGGATCTGAGAGGCAGATGGTGGCGTCAAGAGTCAGTCTGGGTCCCAAGAAAGTGTCTCCCGCTAGGAAGCTGGCGGGACTCAGTCCTTACAGGCCATGTAGCAACCCCGACGTCTGACCACAGAGCCATGGGCCCGCTGACCTGCCGTCCAAGCCACCTTTGACATCAGCCCCCCACCTCGCTTCAGTCCTGGGGTGCAGGGAGATATTGAACAAAGCAGAGCTGGGCAAGGCAAATCAGAACAAGGTTTCCCGCAGAGACACACGTGCACACAGTTTTGCATGCTCAACAACACACGCGTGAGCAGGGCTTGGTGTCGGCCTGGGAAGGCTGGCTCTGCCCTGCCCTGGCTTACCTCCCGCAGCTCTTTGGCCACTTCCTTGAGCTCTTGCAGGATGCCCTCGAGCTGCCCGATGACCATCTTCATGCGCTGGCGTATCCGCTCCCGCTCGCCACCACTGCTGGGGTCGTCACTGGGCTGCCCGAGGTCCGGGGTGCCCCGAATGTTCATCCTTCACCACGTGGCCGTGGGCCTGCCCATACTCCCCCCAGCTGGGCACGCGCTGCGTCTGCCTCCACGGAGCCCCCCTCGGCTGGGCAGAGCTCCACATCTTAACGGCCCCCCAGCCCACCCTGGCCCTGGGCAGCTCTCACGCAGCCCCTGCCACCCCGCTGCGTCTGCCTCTGGGTGGGCAACGGGACACCCAGAGGGAGATCTCAGAGTCTGACAGAGGGGGTCAAGGTGAGGACACAGGAGGGCAGGAGGAGGGGCCTTGGGTCCCAGGAGAGGCCTCCAGGATTTGAGGTGCCTGTGAGTGAGCAGAGCTGGTGTCTGGCCCAGCCTGGACAGAGGCAGGGGGATGACTCTGCAGGGACTAAGGGTAAGAGATGCCCTTGGGATGGGGGAAGGCAGCAGTGTCCCCTCCCAGCTCCTCAGCAGTTGCAAAGGCAGGGGTCTCTGTATGCAATTGACACCTGCAGCAGGGTGGTGGCCCAGGTCTTCCAGCTGTGTGGGGCTCCAGATGTGGCCGGCTCTGGGGAGGGAGCTGGGTAGGAGGAGGGCAGCCCCCTGCAGAGAGCGAGCCTGGCGTCAGCCACCCTGGCTGCAGCACCAGCCAGCAGCGCTGCCTCCCTCCTATTTCCTGCCTGCACCCTTCCTCGCTGGGGATGCATTATCCCTTCTTTGTGGGGAGGGGTGGCGGAGGCAGCCGGCTTACAGCACAGTCCCTCCCCCGAGGGAAAGGAGGGGAGCCCCTGAGTGACAGGCTCAAGTCCCCAGCCTGCTATGGGGCACCTGGCCTCGGTCCCCCAGCCAGGCCTGAACCGCGGGCTCACCAGAGGGCCTCTCCAGTCGCCGGCCCTGCCGCCTAGAGCCCCAGGGTGCCCTGGGTCCCAGCGGACCCTCCCTCCCCCAGCCCCGCCTTCCCTCTGAAGCCGGGCTCCGGGACTCACCGAGGGTGGGAGCGCCGGCCTTGCCTCCAAGCAGCGTCGGGGGCCAAGCCCCAAGACGAGGTTGGGGGGCCCCCAGGCTCCCTAGGGCGGGCTTCTCTCTCTGCACCCTTCGGCCCCTGGCCTCAGGGAGGTCCTCCGAGCCGCGGCCGGAGACCCGGCTCCGGGTCGGCCAGGGGCGAGGGTCCGGTGGGCTCCGGGCCCCAAGGCCGCGAGTGAGCCGGCGCAGGGCGACCCCGGCGACGCCGGACTGGTCCCAGCGCGCGAGCCAAAGTCAGAGGGCTGGGGGGGCGCCGGGATTCCGGCAGCCCACGCCCGGCATTCCCAGGGCTCGGCACCGTCCGGGATCTGCTCGGTCCAGTCCAGATCGGCGGGTCCGGGCTTCGCCGCGATCCGCCTTCTGCCCTGCGCGGAGTGAGCCGGCCCGGCCCGGA